AGCCATTTTCCTGAGGGGTTGGATGCAGGATTACATGGGAGTTCTTCTGGAGATAGCAAAGAATGCTGACCCTATTCCTTGACCCTTATTACAGAGCGAGATGAACAGTCTTGGAGGGAGCACAAGTTTTAGAGAAGGCAGGCTGTAGTCATAAGGGAAGTTTTTTCACTATGGGATGGAGTTCCAGGTTAGACTACAGCCTGTGGGTTAAAAATTTAAGTGATTTTAGTGATTTAAGGTATATCCCTGTTGCCACCAACCGTATACTTCTTTAAAAGGAAGATAGAATGAAATTTACAAGATTGAAAAAGTTCACAGGTCACATTTATAAGTATTATTAATATAAAAAATGTGGTTTTCGAACAATGGCATATAGTCCTATGTTATTTACGAATCAGTCCTTGAGTGGTGTGACTGCCATGTCGCTGTGAAATGGAGTAAGCACAATGCTTAATGGATTTAGCTCCAGATTTACTCCAGATTTATTTCTTGATAAACTCACTGGTGCTCAGCAGAGAACAGCTCTAGCTGTTCTAGAATTTGCACTGCCTAAACACATGGAATCAGCAGATTCCGGTATCTAAAGAGAACAGGGGCATCTGGCTGGCTCAGCTGGTAGAGCATGCAACCCTCGAGGTCATGAGTTCAAGCCCCATGTTGGCATGGAGCCTACTTAAAAAAAATAATAATTAAAAAAATAAAGAGAACAGTTATAAAACTCTTTAGTCTTTAATACTGAAACTGATTGAGTCTATTTGCAAGTAGTTGTTTCAGACAATCAACAAATATTTATTAACTGCCTAGGGTACTCCTGAAGGCCTGTGGGAGAAACAAAGAACTATCAGATACAGCTGGAGAGAAAATGTATTCACATGACATTACAGAATAGCACAGTAACACTTTCTTTTCTTTTTTTTTTCTTTAGATTTTATTTATTTATCTGACAGACAGAGATCATAAGTAGGCAGAGAGGCAGGCAGAGAGAGGGAGGAAGCAGGCTCCCTGTCAAGCAGAGAGCCCGATGCGGGGCTTGATCCCAGGACCCTGAGACCATGACCTGAGCCAAAGGCAGAGGCTTTAACCCACTGAGCCACCCAGGGGCCCTACAGTTCTATTTCAAAAGAGAGCATGAGTCATTGCTGAAGAACAGCTATAGACAGTGGATGTTTCAGGACCCACAGCCGGTTAATGAACTGTGGAAAGGCTGCATGGAGGAGGGAGGTGCCTCCAAACTATGCCGTGAAGGTTGGAGAGAAGCTATACACTAGCTTCAGGAGAAGGAATTCTGTAAGACAAGGCAGAGGGGCAGGACATTCTGTGGTGTATTTAGCAACGACTCAATATTTTCATAAGGTTACTTGGGGCACTTGACTGGCTCAGTCAGTAGAGCATGACACTCTTGATCTTGGAGTTGTGAGTTCGAGCTCCATGTTAGGTATAAAGATTACCTAAAAATAAAATCTTAAGAAAAAGAAAAAAAAGGTTGCTAGAATGCAATGTTATGGATATGGTTCAGTGGGGTTTGGCTGGGACTCAATGATTCTGATCCCTATGCAATCCACTGGCACTTTTTAATGACAAGTTTTCTGTTTTGCTTCCTTTACTGCACAATATATAAAAAATTGGTATAGTACTCTGACTGTAAAGGAACAATGAAAGGAGAATAATATTTAATAAAAAATATGTATTTGATTCTATTTGCAAGAGGTATCTAAGGTGGTCAAATTCTTAGACACAGAAAGTAGCATGGTGGTTGTTGGGGGCTGGGGGAAAACTGGCAAAGAGGAGTTATTCAGTAGCCACAGAGTTTCAGTTTAGCAAGATGCAAAGTTCTAGAGATATGTTGCACAACAATGTGCATATACTTAACACTACTGTAGTGTGCATTTAAAAATGGTTAAGGTTGGGGACGCCTGGGTGGCTGAGTCGATTAAGCCACTGCCGTCAGCTAAGATCATGATCCCAGGGTCCTGGGATCTAGTCCTGCATCGGGCTTCTTGCTCCACAGGGAGCCTGCTTCTCTCTGCCTCTGCCTGCTTGTGTGCCCTCCCTCTCTCTCTCTCTCTCTCTCTGACAAATAAATAAAATCTTAAAAAAAAAAAAAAGGTTCAGGTTGCCTGGGTGGCACAGCTGGTTAAGCATCTGACTCTTGGTTTCAGCTCAGGAGACAGCCCCCCCATCAGGCCCCACACTCAGCGAGGAGTCTACTTGACATTCTTTCTCCCTCTTCCTCTGTTCCTCCCCCTTGTGCTCTCTCTCACTAAAGTAAATAAGTAAATCTTTTTAAAAAGGTTAAAATAGTGAATTTGTTATGTTTTTTAATTGCAATCAAAATATGAATTTAAATATGAAAATGTGGCTAAGTGGATTTCTTTTTCATGTCGTTTGCTCAGGATTTGTTGTCTAAACTATATCTGAAGGGGCGCCTGAGTGGCTAAAGAGGGTGGCTTCATTTTATTGATATGATGTATTACATGAATTGATTTTTGCATGTTAAACCAATCTTGCATTCCTGGGGAAAATCGCACTGGTCTTGGTGTGCGTACTCCTTTCACATGTTGCTGGATTCCTTTCCCTAGAGTTTGTTGAGGATTTTGCATCTATTTTCATAAGCAATATTGATGTTTGTCTGTATTTTTATTTAGTTATTATTATTATTATTATTTAGAGAAAGAGAGAGAGGGTAGGGAAGGGGCAGAGAGAATCCTAAATGGGCTCCATCCCCAGCACTGAGTCCAATGCAGGGCTTAATTCCACAATCCTGAGATCACGACCTGAGTCAAAATCAAGAGCCAGTCGCTCAGCCAACTGGGCCACCCAGGTGTCCCGCTTGTCTACTCTTAAAGTGGGTTTTATAGTGTTTCCAAAAGCATGCTGCTGCTTCTGCCATCTTATGAGAATTCTCCATGTGTGCTGTCAAAAAAATTCATTATTAAAAAGATTTGTTGGGGGCGCCTTGGTGGCTCAGTGGGTTAAAGCCTCTGCCTTCGGCTCAGGTCGTGATCCCAGGGTCTTGGGATCGAGCCCTGCATTGGGCTCTCTGCTCAGTGGGGAGCCTGCTTCCTTGTCTCTCTCTCTCTGCCTGCCTCTTTGCCTACTTGTGATCTCTTTCTGTCAAATGAATAAATAAAATCTTAAAAAAAATATTTGTTGGGGGGCGCCTGGGTGGCTCAGTCAGTTAAGCCTCTGCCTTAGGCTCAGGTCATGATCCCAGGGTCCTGGGATGGAGCCCTGCATCAGGCTCCCTGCTCAGTGGGGAGCTTCCTTCGCCTTCTCACACTCCTCTTGCTTTTGTTCCCTCTCTCACTGTCTCTCTCTTTCTGTCAAATAACATCTTAAAAAAAAAAAAAAAAGAAAGAAAGAAAGAGAGATTTGTTGGGGGGAAAACCCCCAAAGGCATTGTTATATCTGAGCTTCCCTCTTTTTTTTTTTTTTTTTTTCCTGAGGGGTATTAAGCACTTTTGGTTCCATTAACAAAAAACAGGTTAGTAACTATGATCTTTTGGTCTCAAAGATCTCAATTAACAACATGGGTGGTTAAATCTTTTTGTGTGTTTAGGTCTAACTCAATCTCATATACATCAAGCAGTTCGACAGTGTAAGACCTGATGATTTTATTTTCATTCAGTCTTAGTTTAGTTTGTTTTGTGAAACAGAATAATACAGCTGTGGAAAAATCAATGGCTCTGGAACGATCAATGGCTCTGGAACGATCTATCAGCACTTTTGCTACAAAAAAAAGCGCTACAGCTTTATTTGCATGGTTCTTTACTGTTCTGGTTGTTTCTGCTTGTTAAGCAAATTCTGTCAAAAAAAGTAAGTTAGGTAATAACTAGGAAAATAATAGGGCCCAAACTTGTTTATGTGCTCAGAGAACATCAAGTAAGTACCAGCTATTGAGTTCAAAGAAATTCTACTGGGCAAAACATTTCTTTGTAAGACTATTTATTATTTAGCTCTGAAATAGGTTTACTAAAATAATGTCAAGGGAAGATTACTTTTTAGTTTTTCTACATTTTATTTTATTTTTTAAAGATTTTATTTATCTATTCGGCAGAGAGTCAGCGAGAGAAGGAACACAAGCAGGGGAAGTGGGAGAGGGAGAAGCAGGCTTCCCCTGGAGCAGGGAGCCCTTGTGGCACTTGATCCCTGGACCCTGGGATCATGACCTGAGCCACCCAGGCGCCCCAGTTTATCTTTTATGTAGAGGCAATACATCTAGTGTTTGCTTGGATCTTATAGTTTGATAAACAATTTTACACAGGGAATACAAAATTTAAGAAGTGAAGTTGTCAGGGTATGTGGTGCATTTCCAAAATCTATGTTTCTGCTGGTGGCGAACACTTGTACCTCTAGTTCCTGACAAAGTCCATCAACATGTTTCAGGCATGTTAACGCCTGTTTGCCAGAAGCCTAACCAGGTAAAATTTCCACCCAATATACTAGGGATAGGGGCAGTGCTTGAAACTCTACCTTTGGGAGGATTTCTGATTTTATGTAAATTTCTACACAACGGAATGACTTCTCTTCAAACAAACAAACAAACAAACTATACTCATTCTAGCTCCTCAGTGTTCCTTCTTTTAAAATAATAGTTTTCATTAACTTTTTGGTGTCGTTTGCAAAAGTAATACAGACTCGATGTAGAACATGGGGAAAATTCAGTAGAGTATGAACATCATTTTGGTCTCACCGTTTACAGAGAGCGATAAACATTTTTCTTTAAACGGCGGTGGAGTGTCGTGAACTGTTTTGTAAACGGTAATAATTTTTCCTCGTTTACCATTTTCGACTTTTTTTTACGGTGTCTCCTGTCCGCCCTTTCTCCACAGACAGTCGCAGCTGCCGCTGGTTGACCTTAGCTCTCCTCCGATCTCCTCCGCCCAGCCCAGGGTAGCTGAGGGGCAGCGCAGGCCGGATCCCTTTAAGAGGCAGGCGCGCGGTGGGGGAGGGGGCGGTCCCCGCGCGGATTGGCCGAGCTTGGAGCCACGTGGCTCTCCTGGCAGCAGAGGCGGTGGCCCGGCTCCCGGAGGCTGTCGCGGAGCTTCCCCCGCGGGTCCCCTTGAAGGGGCGCGGGCTCACCGATGTCCGTGAGGAGGTGCCTGGTGGGCCTCACCTTTTGCACTTGCTACCTGGCTTCTTACCTCACGAACAAGGTGAGGGGGGCGGACGCGGGGTGGCAGTGAGTGCACGTGGGACGTGGAACAGATGCGGCCTCCAGCTGTTAATCTGATTTTTCCTGATGATGGTGGAGAGGAAGCTGACTCTGTATGGAATCCTTGTTCAGAAATAGGATTCGTTGGACTATACTGGCCCGGTTTCCCGCACTGTAAAGCATTCCTTACATTTCCTGGGACACCGAATTTTTTGATTGGCAAATTCCCAGGAACTTAATTTTGGCTTGTGCATACTACTTTTAAGGGAAAGAGAGCAACTGGCTCTTGTTCTCTCGGGGAAGGAAGAGAAGAGGAAATCTGACAAACCCTGCTTTCTTTTCTGAAACACACCCTGCCCCAGAAACCCACAAGATTCCGGAAGCTTTTACATAGAAAAGATCAGTCCATTTACATCTCCATCTTTCTCTTACACCACTAATTCCCAACCCTTTTTTTAAAATGACATTTCCAGTATCTCTCAGATATTTCCAGTATATTCAAGAGTATTTTGTGGAATTATTTTTGAAAGTAAAATATAAAGCTAATTTTATTTAAAGTAATGTTATGAAACCCTTTTTATGAAAAGGCAGAAAAGCAGCGGTACCATGTTTTTTATTTTGCTAGGAGGGGCAAACTGGCCTTGGATTTGGTACCATGCAGGGAAATGTTGGACCTTTGTGAGCTAGAGTGGGGCATCCCCTCCTGTCCTGGACACTGGGCTTGACACCAAGACAAAGTGGTAATACCAGGCCCAGGACTACCTTTTCCCACTGTGGGATCTCCACCGCCTCCTAAACACCAAACCCCTCTTGCTCTCTGGAAAAACAACAACAACAAAAAAAAACTTAACAAATAGCATTTCCTAATACCTTCTCTCTTAATGTGAGCGGCTGTCTTCTGTATACTTAGAGGATGTGCCAGAACCCTTCTTCCCCATGTCCAGTTGATTTTTAGTTCTGGTGATGGGCCTTTGAAGATCCATACATAGTACCTTTCCGGGAGGGAGTGATGCGTTTGCATCCTGGCTTCACTTAACCTGGTCTTTGGGGCCTTAATTTCTCTAAACCTAAGTTTTTAACTTTAAGATGAGATTAGCAAGTCCTCTTCAAAGAGCTGTTCTGAGGATTAATCGAAATGATGTTAGGTAGTTGGACAAGTGCCCCAAATCATGGTAAATAAGGTAAGTGGTAATTAGTCTAGGAGAAACGGAAGGAAGGAGAGACAATCTTTTGCTTATAGTATGACACAATGATTATTAGCTTTTAATGGATTTGTCTTTTCCTCATTGAACAGGTAGCTAAACTAAAAGATTTATTGTGGCACCTTTTCTGGAATAAGTGAATTTGTGAAATCCTGCCCTTTTCATTTAACTATTCTAATTTGTCTAGTAAACCTGATGAATGTATTGGTAATGTTTCATTTAAAAACAGAATGACCTTTCTTTTATCTCTCTATAATCATCAGAAGGGGAAGAGTGACAAGTCTTTCATGCAAATCCACGAGCAGGAGCAGTGGTATTATTGGTTAACAAACAGTCAAACAAAGTATCTAAGCAGGCAGATAACATTTAGTTCACTGAAATGTATACCCTCTCACATTTGCATCTGTGGCATTATTTTTGTATTTATTGGGGTCCTGCACCATTTTCTGATCAGTGTAATAAAGACAGTACCCTCCATGTGCGTCATGCCTCAAGGTGCTAGATAAAAAGAAACCAAACTATCATGTCTCTAGGAATATCTAATCTGAGTAATAGAAATCATAGATTCCCAAGGACCCTCAGAATTTAAACAGTAAACCCTATTCCATTTTCCACTATGGTTTGGAGTGCTTTGGTTCAGGGCTCTTGGGAGTGTCCGAGTAGATGGAAAGCAGAAGAATAATGGCAGAAGGCAGAGAGAAGGGGAGGTAAGGTTGTATAAAGGGGAAAAGGGAAGTGGACTCAGAGTAGGGGAAAGCAGATATGAGGCCCAGGTAGGGGGTGGAGAGGTAGTCCTTCACAATGGGACTCAGGTAGGGAGTTTGTAACTCTTAGATTATGCCATTGTCTCAACTAAGACAGTCATGCTTCTTTCTGGCCTCCATCACAGGTTGGCTTGGACCAAGTCGGGGCCAAATGAGAAAAGAGCTGTACTGTGGACCCCCCAGCCTATAGCCTCTGCCAAATGAATTTTCTTTTGAATTAGTGTAGATCATTTTGTGTTTACAGGACAGGGTCCTCTCTTCCAGTTTTTAGAAGACTCTATGCTAGTTTTTTTTTTTTTTTTTTTAATTTTCCTATTTCTCAGTATAGTTTCCTTCTCAAACTATTTCTGTCTGTGGCTGTAAAAAGAAAATTCATTCAGGGACGCCTGGGTGGCTCAGTGGGTTAAGCCTCTGCGTTCAGTGCAGGTCATGATCTCAGGGTCCTGGGATCAAGTCCCGCATCAGGCCCTCTGCTCAGCGGGGAGCCTGCTTCCCCCCCCTTCTCTCTCTCTGCCTGCTTCTCTGCCTACTTGTGATCTCTCTCTGTCAAATGAATAAATAAAAATCTTAAAAAAAAAAAAAGAAAATTCATTCAAAAAAATCGTGTCAATTTTAGTCTTATCGATTCTAGTGTAAATGAATGGTTGATTTTAGTTTGAACAGCAAGTGTTGACCTAGTCTGAGTGGCCTGTTGTTCTGGCCTCTGGGAGGTTCTGGCAATAACCAGGCTCAGGGCCCAGGCAGCCGCTGGTCCTTCTTCCCCTTACAGCTATTAAGCCTTCAGCCTGGAGACAAAGTGCACGTCTGTTCTCCTTTCAAAGGCTCCCAAATTGCTCCTTTTTCCTGGAGGTGCGCTCAATGCTATTCCACCAAAGAGCATTTTTTTCTGAGCAACACTTTTCAGTGACATGAAGAATTGCTGAATGAATAAATACTAGGACTTAGATTCCATTTGTCAGAGATTTCTTTCTTCACTCCTCTTTAGCCAGATGAGGTTAGAGCTTCAGCATTTTTCCATCTACTCCCCAGTATCAACAAAAAAGATCAGCAGACAAAAAACTAAATAAATATTTACTATCTTCCTGAAGGTTGTTAAGGGTGAGGAGCCCAGGGCCTAGACAGTCACTTTATCCTTTCTCTATCTCTGTTTTGGAATGAAAATATCAGGGAAAGGTGGGGCAGAGGATATGGAATTATGTGAGTAAATTGATTTCAGAAAAGAAGGAGGTCCATCTCTAGTGACTATAGACCAGAGCTCAGCAGTTAGTTGTGATTGTGACATTTAGGAGCTCATATGAGGAGGCCTATGTGTAGGTTAATTCATGGGAAAAAATAAGTATGTAAATTTGCCCAATACCAGTCCATTCTGTTTTCTAGATCATGTGAAAAATCAGTAGAGTCTCTGTCTATAGCCTTTAATGGCTTTTAAACTTTACAAAAATTCTTAGTGTTCAATAGTAGGAAAAAATAGGAAGAGATACCCAGAAAACAAAACACAGCCCCCTCATTCATGAAGTATTGTAAAAGACATAATTGAAATACATGTTGACCTTAGTTGGGTTGGTTTTACAAAATCCTTAAAATGTGAAAGCGCAAAAAAAAATTATGATGCAGAATTAGTTTAAAAAAAAAAAGATCTTTAGAATGCAAAAGCCAAATTCCCCAAATGAAGGAAAAATGAAGGAAATAAAGACTACTAAGATGCAGTTCTTGCTTGAAGAGAAACAGAGAAGGGGTTTGGATTTTTAGATAAGTTGGACCGTAGATAACGTGGATATCGAGAAAAGAGACACGGCCAGTGTTTTCCAGTTGGTGCAATTCCAACATGGCACTTCTGAGGTCTGGAAAGAGGCTATGTGGTTGGGCATCCACAACAGAGACCCAGCTGCTGTTCATCCCAATTTGCTGATGGTCCCAGTTCCATTTCTCCACCAAGAGGTGGTCAGGGTTCTGACAATACTGGGGAAAAACAGACCCAGTCTTTTTACTATAACTTGGAAGGTCTTTCTTTTTAAAAATTTTTGCCTAGTGTGTGATTTGCAGGGGGGGGTAGATAAAAGCCTTTTTGAAACCTGAGTGTATTTATGTTTCTTCAATAGGGATTTATTTAGTTATACAATCAACTCTCGATAATTTGAAAATGTCCATTAATCTGGTATTTGTTTTTCAGTATGTCCTGTCTGTCTTGAAATTTACCTACCCTACATTATTCCAAGGGTGAGTATCTTTTATGCTCTTTATACACATTTGTGGGACATATCCAAACAGCATCATTAGCTGTTCTTTAAAATATTTTTAGGAGTGCCTTGTGGCTCAGTAGATTAAGCTTCTGACTCTTGATTTCTGCTCAGGTCATTATCTCAGGATTGTGAGATCGAGCCCCACCGTGGGCTACAAGCTCAGCAGGGAGTCTGCTTGAGATTCTTTCTTTCCCTCTCCCCCTCCCCCTGCTCCTATGCTCTCTCTCTCTCAAATAAGGAAATAAATCTTTTAAAAAATATTTTTAATGAGTACATAGATTTTTTAAATGAAATAGACATACCGTAATTTGTTTAGCCATTCTATTAATGGGCATTTAAATTGTGTCCTATTTCAGGGGGAATAAAAACAACAATGTTATCAGAGATTTTTACATTCCAGTCTATCAAATTTCTAGCTATTTCTTTGGGATGGATTCCTATATAAGAAATTTGGGTTAAAGAATATGAACTTTATTAGTATCCCTCCTGAATATTAAATTCTTTTCCAGAAATGTGTTACCAATTTACATTGTCTGTGGGAGTTTCTATAATATTGTATTCAAACCATGACTGTTTTTTCCTTCTCTGATGATTTTGTGAACCGCAAATGGTATCACATTGTTTTGTCTTATCATTTTTCATAAAGTTGGACCATTTTCTTTTCTTTAAAGATTTTATTTATTTGACAGACAAAGATCACAGGTAGGCAGAGAGGCAGGCAGAGAGAGCGGGGGTGGGCGTGGGGGAAGCAGATTCCCTGCTGAGCAGAGAGCCCGATGCGGGACTCAATCCCAGGACCCTGAGATCATGACCTGAGCTGAAGGCAGAGGCTTAACCCACTGAGCCACCCAGGTGCCCCGAAGTTGGACCATTTTCTTATGTGTGTTACCCACTTGTACCGCTTTTATCAGTGAATTGTCTCTTTGTGCTTTTGCCCTTTTGTTTTTACTGGGGTTTTAGTATTTTTCTTATTAATTTAATGACTTCTTATTTTAAGAATGCCAACCACTTGTCCATCATGTTTATTAGAAATTTCATTTTTTGCAGTTTGTCTTTTGGCTTTTCATTTTGTTCATACTTATTTTGATTATTCAAATATATTTTTAAGTGCCATCGTAGAAAATTTATTGCTAAGACATAAGAAGGAAGCAACAGTGAACTACAGATAAATCTAGTGTGTGGTCTTATGATTGAAGAATGCCATTCTTAGAAAAAAGATAGAAGGAAAAAGGGGTGTGGACATAGGTCAACAATGGAGATGTGGTAGAAGCAGCATGGAGTGCTCTGATACTCAAATTTCCCTTCCTCACCTCATCCGCACTCAAGCTTTTTAAGTAATTAATTTAATTAGTTAAGATTTATTTATTTTAGAGAGAGAGAGAGAGAGGGATAGCGTGAGCTTGGGAGAGAGGAACTGAGGGAGAGAAAAGAAGAGAGAAACTCAAGCTGACTCTGTGCTGAGGGCAAACCTGATGTGGGGCTCGATCTCACAACCCTGAGATCACGACCTGAGCTGAAACCAAGAGTTGGAGGCTCAACTGACTGTGCCACCTAGGCACTCCTCCACTCAAGCTTTTAAAAAAAATTGTCTTAGGGTGCCTGGGGGGCTCAGTCAGTTAAGTGTCTGCCTTCGGCTCAGGTCATGATCCCAGGGTCCTTGGATCAAGCCCCGCATCGGGCTCCCTTCTGAGTGGGGAGCCTGCTTCTCTCTCTCCCTCTGCCTCTCCCCCTGCTTATGCTTGCTTTCTTTGTCTCTCTCTCCCATATAAATAAATGAAATCTTTTAAAAATTTTTAAATTTTTATAGTGGACAAATATTGATGATTGATTGGTACCACTACTTTCATGTTTATTTTTCTCCATCTCAAGCTCATGTAGATATTTACCTACATTTCATTACAGCTTTATTCAATTTTTAATCATTCTTCATTTATTTAAATGTGTGGTATAGTGTGAGGAAATCATTCCTCCCATAGTTTTGCTTATATTAGCTCTCTCTCTTTTTTTTTTTTAAAGTTTATTTATTGGGACATCTGGGTGGCTCAGTCATTATGCGGCCGCCTTCAGCTCAGCTCATGATCCCAGGGTCCTGAGATCAAGCCCCGCATTGGGCTCCCTGCTTGGAGGGAAGCCTATTTCTCCTTCTCTGTCTTCCCCAGCTTGTGTTCCTTGTATAGCTGTCTCTCTCTGTCAGATAAATAAATAAAAAATTTTTTAAAAAGGTTTATTTATTTATTTGAGAGAGATAGAGAGCATGAGTGGGAGGAGCAGAGGGTGAGGGAGGGAGAATCTCAAGCAGACTCTGCTCGCCCTGGAGCCCGACGGAGGGCTTGAACTCACAACCCCAAGATCAAGAGTTGCACACTCCACTGACTGAACCAGCCAGGTGCCCCATATACTAGCCCTATATTTTATATTTTGTTATATAATCCTTCCTTTTGCCTTTGGGTTATTAATATATTTAAAGTTATTTTTCTAGGGTCTGTCTTTGAGTATTTGTCATTTTTATGAAAAGGGGCTAGTACTAAATTGTTTTAATTATTATAGCATTTAGATATGTCATAGAGCAGGACATCCCTCATTCTTCTTTAAAAGAAAATATATATATATATATACAAATGTGAACAAGAAAACAGGGGTCATGATCTTTGCCAGACAAGGTTCAGGACAAAAAGCACTAACCATATGAAGGTGTTTTAGGATGCTAAAGATGTGTCAGGATGTTAAAGCATGCAGTTCACAATGAAAAGACATGTTATAGATGTCATGAAAAGACATGTTGGAGTGTGGGGTTCAAAACAAAAGTAAAACAGTGATGAATATCTATGAGCCAGACAATGGGGCAGGAGTATCAGGAATACATAGAAACATGCAAATAATAGGAAACAAATTTGCCACTATTTTCCCATAACAGTTCAATTGAAAAAACAAAAAACAAAAAACTAGTGTTCATGTATGTGTATGTATGTATGTATATATATAAGCTAAATAATACAATTAATAGGTAAATATCAAAGGCTGTATCTTTAAAATAGAGACTATACCCTCTTCTCAAATGTCCAGGGAATACTCACTATGAATAAAACAAGCAATAACTTGCCCAAAGTTACACTTATACAATCTTAGTGCCCTAAATCTAGATTTTATTTTATCTTTTTAAAGATTTTATTTATTTGTTTGAGAGAGAGTGAACGAGAGAGAGAGAGAGAGAGAGCGAGAAAGCGTGCACAAGCGGTGTGGATGGGTAGAGGGAGTAGGGGGAAGCAGACTGCCCGCTGAGCAAAAAATCTCTGTTTACAAATGATTCTTCACTCAAAAGAAAGACATAATTAAAACACTATTGAAAAATCGTATTTTGCCTATAAGATTTGCAAAATAAAATTTCAAAATTTGGTAACACAGCCCTGATGAAGATGTAGAAAACAGGTGCTCTGCTGCATGGATCTGGGGCAGCAAATTGGTACAGTATCTGTGAGTAACACTGTTGCCAACGGTCTGAATCCTTCAATTCCACGGTTCTACTTCCAGGAATTTATCTGAGAGGTTTGCTTGCACTTCTGTAAATGAAATATGTACGAAATGAAATATGCTGCTCTGTGACTGCAAGCATTTTTTAAACAACCTGATTTTCATCTCTACAGAACCCATTAAATATATTATATCCTTAATGGAATACTATGCAAATGATAAAAATAATAAGGACACTCAGGTATTGAAAAGATTTTCGAAATACATTTAATGGGGGACAGAAGCAAGTCTGTAACAGGGTAGCACAATAGCATCGTGTAGAAGTGTGTGTGTATGTTTTCCTTATTTAAAAATAGGTGAAGTGGGATGCCTGGGTGGCTCAGTGGGTTAAAGCCTCTGCCTTCGGCTCAGGTCGTGATCCCGTGGTCCTGGGATCGAGCCCCGTGTTGGGCTCTCTGCTCAGTGGGGAGTCTGCTTCCTCCTCTCTCTCCCTCTGCCTGCCTCTCTGCCTACTTGTGATCTCCTCTCCGTGTCAAATAAATAAAATCTTAAAAAAAAAAATAAGTGAAGAAACTACCCAGGGCAGTTAACCATAGGAAAAGGTGGAAACGGTGCAGAGAGCGGACAGGCAAGGGAAGAAGACTTTCGAGCACTTCCTTTTGTATACTTTTGGATTTTTGTTCTTTATGGTATCACCAATATATTATTCTGGGTAAACTTCAGAATGATTTTGTCAGGTTTCTCTCAAATATTTCATAAAAAAACTTTAAAAAATATTGTTTATGATTACATACACAGTAGCCCCCTTATCCGTAGTTCCTCTTTCTGCGGTTTCGGTCACCCACGGTCAGTTCTGTCTGGAAGTAGATGATTCTCCCCTGAGTTGCTGTCAGAGGTGAATGGTAGCCTACAGGTACATCAGAATGCCTACATCATTCACCTCACGTCACCTCACCATCTAGTCATTTATCCTCTTGCAGCATCGTGATAAGGGTGAATACAGAGATTTTGAGAGAGAAACCACATTCACATAACTTTTATTACAGCATATTGTTATAATTGTTCTAGTTTATTATTGGTCATTGTTGTTAATTTCCTGTGGGGCCTAATTTATAAGTTAAACTTTATCATAGGCACGTATGTGTAGGAAAAAACACAATACGTATTTGGTTCAGCTCTATCTGCAGTTTAAGATCCCCAGGCATCCCCTGGGGATCTTAAAATGCATCCCCCACTAGTAAGGGGGGAGGGGAGCCACTGTATTTCAGTCAATAAAGCTGGGGTGTTGTTTTCTCTTTTAGTGAACAGGAATCATTTTCTGGTCCTGCCTGTCTGACAGTTCTCTCCAGGAAGAGAGACTTAGGGAACTTAGGTGGGAAGGGAGGATCTCTGCCTCCGGATTGCATATCCCTGGATGGGTCAGACTGAATGTCCCCCTCTGACAGATTGTAAGGTCTACAAATGAAAGAATTTTTTTTAAATCTCTTTTGTCACCAGAGTATCCCCAGTGCTCACAACAATGCCTGGCATGTAGGAGGTGCATGGTAGGGCGGACTAACTCATTCTACAAATCCTTATTGGGTACATACTACGTGCCCGGCCCTGTTTTAGACACGGGAGGTACATCAATGGGGAAAGCAAAGATCCCTGCCTTCGTGCAGCTTTCTTTTCTCTCCTGCCTATTCCTTAAATTTATTGCAGTGGATGGTTCCTTCCATCGAGTTGCCTGACTGAAGAATTCCCAGAAACCTGGGAGTCGATTCCCTTGTCTCCTTCATCCCCAACATCTAATTAACCACCAGGACCTCCTAAACATCTTCAGAATCTGTCTGCCTTCTTCATCCAAATTGCCCCTTCCCAGGCCACTGTCATCTCTCAAATTACTCTTGACATTTTGAACTGGGTAATCCTCTGTTATGGGGCTGTCCCACATGCTGTAGGAGGTTTGGCAACATCGCTGGCTATGACTCACCAGATCCCAGTAGCAATCCATCCCTTCCCCCACCCCCAGTTGTGACAACCAAAAATGTCTCTAGATACTGCTGAGTGTCCCCTAGGGAGAACCATATGGTTGAGTGCCACTGCTCTAGGTAACGTTGTTGGAGGGCATGACCCATATCTGTCTGCCCTGCTTGGCTGGGTCAGTGAAGGTTTCACAAAGGAGGCGTAAAAATGGGATCTTTGGGGCGCCTGGGTGGCTCAGTGGGTTAAGCCGCTGCCTTCAGCTCAGGTCATGATCCCAGGTCCTGGGTTCGAGCCCCACATCGGGCTTTCTGCTCAGCAGGGAGCCTGCTTCCTCCTCTCTCTCTGCCTGCCTCTCTGCCTACTTGTGATTTCTCTCTGTCAAATAAATAAATAAAAAAAAAAATCTAAAAAAAAAAAATAAATAAAAATGGGATCTTACAGGATGAACAGGTGTTCGCCAATACACAAGGAGATGGGAGCGTTTGATGGGTCAAGAGGACAGCACATGGAAACTCTTAGAAGTATGGCAAGGCCTGGCACATTTCCGAGGCTATGGGCTGTTCCCGGTGGCTGGAATGCCTGTAGCAGGAGGACAAGCTGGTCCTGGAAAGGGGGGACTGCAAGTCTGGGAAGGCTTGTGTATCACACACAATTGACTTTATCTTAGAGGCTAGCCGTTCTCCTGCGTTACGTCACAAGACACGGGTGTGTTGTAATCACTTCCGAGGTGAGGTGTCTCGAGTCATAAATGAGGTTTTGAGGTCTATGAATGACTCACCTAAAATAAAGCAATTAGAGTGAAACAAGGGGAAGTTATGCCACTAGTACCCTCTTGCTCATTTTGAACTTTGCTGTGCTTTGTGTCATGGGAGGGGCAGGGGTGTGTCATTTACAGCCTGGGCTCCCCCTGGGCTCTTCATGCTGAGGAAGTGTGTCTCCCGTGAGCTCTGTGGGCCCCTGTGTGTCACGTCAGAAAAGAGATTGGGAGTTGCTGCCAGCCACCTGGGAAGAATCAACCATTTTGAAAATGAGTGAGTGGCAACATTAAGTTTGCATTCTAGAACAAGCCTTGTGGCTGCAAGGTAGAATGGGTGTTGCGGGACATTCCTGGGGATAGGGACACTGTTAGTGGACTGATGCTAGGTTTGGGTGCACCATGATGGGAGTCTGCATTAGGCAGAGGCCGAAGGGATGGGGAGGGGAAGGCGTGGCCCTTGAGAGCTGTGATGGGGATTACGTGCAACAGGATTTTCTGGGCTTTGGTGTGGCTGATTAGGGACAGGGGCGGTAGACCAGGATGGGGGAGGGAAGTTCAAGGTAATGTTATAGGTAGGTTATCATTGGGAGTTTGTGGGGTGTCAGGGTGGTGGTCTTCGGGGGAGCACAGGGATTTGGGAATCATCAGTGCAGGGCAATGAGGGAAGCAGGGACTGTGGGTGAGATCGGTCAGGGACTAGTCTAGAATAAGAAAGAAGAATATCAGTGTCAGCATGGAACGGTACAGCTGGACTCGAGAGTAGAACAGGTTGAGAAGGAGGGGTCTGGGAACTGGGATGCCAGTTAGGGGAGAGTGGGAGAACAGAGTTGGAGGGAGGCTTGGTATGTATATTTGTGTGAACCAATGGATCTGCTGAGGCTGGATTGTGTTTGAGGCCGTAGCACTCTCTCAAATTCACATGGGTTCATATCCTTTTCAGGTGGCAGACCTTAGTTGGTGGACTTTTGCTTCATGTGTCATGGAAGCTGGGCTGGGCCAAGATCAACAGCAGCTCAAGGTAGAACAACCTTTTCTTGCTTGATTCATGATTCATACCCTGGCTTCTTTTCACATTATTTAATTTCTTCTTCTTCTTTTTTTTATTTTATTTTTTATTTTTATTTTTTATAAACATATATTTTTATCCCCAGGGGT